TTTACTCTATATTTAATACTTTATACAGATATTTAAATGTTCGATGTGACAGGGTGGGGTTCTAAAGAGGACAGACGACATGGAAAAAATGCATCCTAGATATTTCTGATAAAAAAATAAATGAACTGTATAGTTTCAAATAGATGCATGCCTCACCCTATCACCAGCGTAGCACGTCCTTGAGGCCGAGTTTGCTTCCAAAATTTTTCTTCAAATTTCCAATTTTTTCATCGTATCGAAATTTTTCTACACACGTGAACTTTCAAATTTTTCGTCACATCGTATTAATTTTAACCAAATTTACAATTTAGCGTTAACTATGCTTTCCTGTTGCACGTAAAAGCAAAAGCAAAAGCAAAACCAAACCACAAGGCATCACAGCACATCACATCAGGAGTAGCCGTGCTAGGAATAGCTACAGCTGCTACTCCACCAGTACATCGATCCCCTCCACCAGTACATCAATCCAGCCTGCGCCCTGCGGCTCTGCGCTGCGAGATGGTGGTTTGGTATGGTGGTGTTACGCGCGCGCCCTTCAAACCCAACCAAAACTCAGCAGCTTTTTTTTCTCTCTTTTTTATTTTGATCTTGAAAACAACAGCAACTAGGTGCTTTCCCCTGTTCGTGCAAGCGAGGTGAAGACGTGAAGTCCATTTTATGTGTATGGCCTGTCCCCTTTCCCATCAAACTTTATTCTGCGTCCTCCATTTGGCGGCCCAACGCGGGAGCAGCTGAAGCCGTCCGATCGAATGGCTGGTCCAGATTAATCCTGACCTAAATAAATACACCTAAAACCTAACCCTAACTTTAGAATTCATTCCCCCCATTGCCCCCGATCTCCCCCAAGCGACGGCGCCCCCTCCCCCCCCCCCCCCAAAGCATAGGGGTGGGCACATTTAGACCGAATTGAAGAACCAAATCGAAAAAACCGAGGCCGAAAAATTTAGTTTCCTGTTCGGTCCCAACCATCGAAAGACTGAATTTATTTCGGTCAATTGGGTTATTGGGCTCGGTTAACCGAATTAACCGAAAATGACCGAAATTTTGGCCCAACAGACGAAGCCCAATAAGCCCAGTAGTTATCTAACCCTAGAAGTGATACCATAGGCGCACAGCAGTCCCAGTCACGCCGCATTCCCCATCCTCTCGGCCTCTGCCTCCACCGCGCGTGTCAGGGTTATGGATACCACATACCTAATAATAGTCGACTAAATCTCGACAGGGCCCACCACATACCATGTCTTATATGGAAACTGACCTCGGATATGGGAGGAGTTCCGGATAAGGATAGACAACCAGAGTTCTACATGGAAACGACGAGGACTACTCGGATTGTATCCATATTGGTTTCCCTAGTTCTATTTGGACAAGGGGACATCTATGGGTATAAATACAAGGCCCCCTAGAAGGAGAGGGGACACAATCAACATACACGGAACAACAGAAGCCACAACATACAAGCCAACATACGCCAAGACAAGACGCCGGATATCAACTTCAGGGATAGGCATGGCTAGTCCCCTACGGTGCCTATAGCTACCGTCAGGAGAGATATAGCGCTGTCTCTGATCTCGCCGGATGCGAATTCAAGGAGGAAGACTACCCTGTTATCGACTACGAGTCAGACCTTCAGACCGCCATGTCGACAAAAGTTAGATAGGCTACCCCAAATATTGTACTAGTGTGATTATGATGAATAAGAGCAACGACCGGCTTCGGCCAACAGGATGTAGGGTTATTACCTGATAATTCAGGGGCCCGAACCTGTATAAAAATCCATGTCTCCGTCTCTTTTATCTTAGTCTCGTGTATATCCTAGTATCAACGATCCACATACTATGCAAATACCGGAATCGTGACATCAAACGTCGACAGCGCGGTCGCGCCGCTGCCATCCACCGCGCCCGGCCTCCACCTCCAACCCTCCACCGCGCCAGAGCCGCCTCCGCCTCTGCCCTCCACCGCGCAAGAGCCGCCTCGCCTCCGTTCTCCACCGCGCCGGAGCCGCCTCCGTCCTCCACCGCGCCGGAGCCACCTCGCCTCCGCCCTCCACCGCACCGGAGCCGCCTCGCCTCCGTTCTCCACCGTGTCGGCATCCATCGCGCCACGGCCGCCGCCTCCGCCTTGGCGACGACGGCTACATCCTAGTTGGCTGTTCATGTACTTATTTACTACTGCTTGATCACAATTTGTGAACCTAGTTGGCTGTTGCTTCTTGCTTGATCACAATCTGTGAACTACTAAACTTATTTACTACTGCTTGTGCTTGATATGTGATGTAATGTTACTCATCAACCCGGAACTTCAGTTCTGAGACCTGTGCTATTTATTCTTGTATATTATCTTGTATTTTTGTGATATATATATGTGAAAAAATGTCTCAAAAGAGGGGAAGTGCTGTCAAAATTTTTCATTTCAAACTTACTACTAAAAATTTCGGTCAGATCGAGACTGAGACCCAAAAGACCGAGACCGAATTTACCGGTCCTGAGTTTTTTTGGATGAAATTCGGCCCTGAGTTTTCGAAGACTGAAATACCCGAAAGACAGAAGACCGAGACCGAATTTTTCGATCTGACCGAACGCCCACCCCTACCCGAGCGGCTGCGGCAGCGCGGAGCAGCGACCGACAAGCGATGCCCCTGATCCTCTCTCTCAAGGCGACGACGGTGGCGGCGTGGAGCAGCGGCCGGCCTCCTCTCCCTCGCCATGGGGCCCCGGGAGAGCTCGACTGTGGCAGCGGCAGCGCCCTTCCCTCAGCTGGATCCAGCGGGAGGGGAGGCGGCGGCGGCGGCCTCCCCTCCACCGGATCCAGCGGGAGGGGAGCCGGCGGCGGCGGTTCGGTGGTGACCTCCCCTTCGGTCTATTTTTTAGATATATTTGTGTGTATATGCTTTCTCCGATTTTATTTGTGTGATTGAATTCCGATTTGGATTTTTTTTTTGGGGGGGGGGGAGGGGTGATTGAATTCCGAATGGGATTTTAGGGGCGGAGGGAGGGGGGCGACAGACGAAAAATTGGCGTACTGACGAGGTGACGAACGGAAAAATATGGATCTTTTAATTAGTTAAGATATGTAACGAATCATGACTTGGATATGACGTTTGCTTGTATATTACGGAACGGCCTAAAGTCTAGGTTTGATAATGTTGTAAAGTAGATTTAGGAAACCGATACCATATTGGTTAAGGTTTCTATCTTGTAATAATGCCCCACATCCTATATAAGGTGGGCACTGGGCTGGAAGCCTTCTAAGGAATGATTCACAAACAGATCGTCAGATCAATACTACACCCGGCGGATTCGAATCCTCAAACAGGAGTGGGGTATTTTCTCTCATTGAGAGGGCCTGGACCTGTCTAAATCCTTGTCTCTACATCCATCTACTTTTAGGTCTCATGCACTATCCCTTTATATTGTCGAAATTTTGTTTGGACACATATTTTTGCCTCTCTTTTCTTGTTCGATCGCTCACTTCCATTTCGGGGAGCCATTACTGCACGGCCAAACAGTTTCCTTTTCCGTGAAACGAAGCCTCCCGAGGAGATGGATCGATGTCGTTCGCTACTAATCCGAACTATACGCGAATCCCATCACAGATGCCGCATATCCCGTCCAAATTATCTATATGCGGTCCTACTTCATAATCGCATCGCGGTTTTCTTTTTATCATTTGTTATTTTTACCAAAGGACCACAGCAGGGTTTTTATTTTTAAATAATGACCTCAGCAGGGTTTTTTTTTTTGTTGTTTAAGTAAAAACCGCTCCTCTCAGATTTACAAAAAACCAACAAAAGGGACAAAGCTTGACAACTTTCGATCAAAACCGTATAGAAACCAACTAATATAATACCGATCGGCTTCCACAAACAGAGAATCACCAGTTTCACGAAAACCGTTGAATCCTGGACCTCAGTCCGTTTCTTAGTCCACTCCCTCTTCGTCTCATTACTAGGCTGATCCAACAGGGTCGGTGCTGTGGCCGCTACCCCGATTTGGCGCAGCTACCGTCGCCCGTCATGGGTAAGCGTCGTCGAATCGCGCCTCCGTCCACTAGCTCCCCCTATCTGCCTCTAGCCCTCTACCAAGAAACACCATCGTTGTAACCTTCGCCAAGCCACCGTGTGTGCGGGTCATGGGGTGGGTTGGGAGGGAAAGATGGAGAGAGAGAGGAAGAAGTACATAGATTGACATGTGGAACCCACTAGCTATTAGATTGGAGAGGGTAATAAAGAGAATGTTAGAGTGAAAGACAAATTTGACTCTAATATTTTGTAAGCTAGCCAAATAGAGATTTAAAAAGTTAAATTTAGAGAGACCGTTAAAGATGCTATTATACACTCGGGCAACAGCTGCATCATATCATTGCCTTGATCTCCTCTAGGAGGAAACACCACATGGCTTTGTCTGGTGCTCTCTTCACATTAGGCATGACCGAGCTAGCTACACGCAAATACTCCCTTCATTTCATACTTATTATAAGTCGCTTTAATTTTTTACATAATCTTTTAATTGTTTGATCAAACTTAAAAAAAAACTAGCAACATCTAAAATACCAAATTAGTTCTATTAAATTTAACACTGAGTATATATTTTGATAATGGGTTTATTTTATGTTGAAAATGTTATTGTATTATTCAATAAATTTGGTTAAACTTAAAGAAAATCAAAACAATTTGCAATATGAAACGAAGGGGGTAGTATATGCGCATATATCATACATGAACCATATTGACAAGTGAGGATACTCGCAAAAATACAGACATTTATTTTTTAAAGCCCCAGGCTCAGTATGGTTTTTGATGAAATTGATGGACGACGGAATTTCTAGATATAGTAGTCTGTTAGTATTTGTTAATTGTTACTACAAAGATTAGGGTTGAACTCTGTGTGTGTGTGTGTGTTTTGTTTGAAGGAGAGAATTAGGATAGACTAGATCAAATCTACCCGTTGGAGTTGAACTCTAAGGGGGAGAGAGAGAAGCAGCATGAAGAGGGGAGAGGGTAGGGCCGGGTAACACAGTACTATGCATGCAGCTTCTTCTTCCTCCCTCACTTCTTTCTCCACTGCAGTAGTTCTTGGGTTTGTGAGACTCCCACAGAGAGCATGATTCACTCCGGCGGCCGCCGCCGCCGCCACCGCCGCGGCAGCAAAGGGCCGTACGAGCGCGGCGGCGACGGGGAGGTGGACGGAAGCCCACGCGAAGCCAAGGGCTGCATGGACGCAGCGGCGACGGACGCACAGGCAGGCTCCACTTTGGGCAGCGGCTGCTGTGCTGCTATGGCTCACGCATGGATGGAGGAGTTTTCCGGGGACAAGGTAACTCTTCTTGTACACGTCATCCGTGGTGTTTCTTGGTTCTGTCTTGTGTGTCTCCTTAGATCTACTTAGGGCTCCCTCACAAAATAGACCTATTTTCTTTCTTTCTTGTTCAAATATACCTCCTCCCCGCCTGCCTTCGGATGCGACCGAGAATGAAATCTGTTGTTCCCAAGTGTGATGCAAACATGCTGCTGCTAATTTTTTTTAATGCATTGGGTTTTGTCTTATTAACATGATTTTGGGTAAAGATGGTACGGCGCTTCGTCTTACTAAGATCAATCTCATGTTCGTTCTGCTATATGCTATTGTTTATGCTCTTTTGTTGATTCTTTTGTTTGGGTTGTCTTGGTAACGCAGGAGGAGGTGAAAGATGTCTTGCTTGCTCAAGTCTTCGGTAAAAAAAGAACCCTCTAATTTTCAAGTTAGGCGTAAATTTGTCTACTTTTCCAACTCACGGTTTAGTTATAAAGTATGACATAATTTCTTTCTTTTTTGCAGCTAAGCATAAACCCATTGAAAGAGACTGACATGATTTTGCTTGAGAGGGGATTCTGCCACTGTGAGAAGGTTTGAACCACATCTTCTATGATTTAGTTACGGGCATTCTATTTTGTATATGCTCTTTAACTTCTCGAGGTTTTCAAGTATAGCTTCCCATGCTAATTTAATACTTTGTCTCGGGGATGTTTTGTTGGAATCAGACATTATTTCTTATGCCTGCACAATTGATGACTGATGTATCCTGCACACACCTCTTAGTTAAGCAATGTGTATGTACATAATTAACATGTAATGCCGTATCTTCCTCTATTTCAAATTTGTTATAGAGATTTATTTTTTCTCTTTTTAGGGGGAAGAACTACCAAAAAAAAATCAACAGGAACCACCACCGCATCAACTTTTACAGCAGAAGAACCATCAGCAATGTCAGCAACAAGCTGCTCACACTCCAAAGTCGATGGTGCAGAAGCCTGAGGTACGTTGCTACTTTAACACCGTGAAATGGATCGTATCTGGTTTGCGTCCAATCGGGTGTTGCGAGTAGCGACACTTTGAAACGGGACGTGCATCTCTTCTTCTTCTTCTGTAGGCTGTAGCTAGTAACTCGTGATGGCGATCTAATCCTTTCCCCATTTCGTTCGCCCAGCTGTTGCTTCTGGGATCACCATGGCATGTCATGTATGGTGCTGGTTTTCTTCTTTGTTTTAAGGAGAGAATTTGCATAGACTGATCAAGTCTACTGTGAGGGACCCACGTTTCACATTTTTTATAAACTTGATTAAATTTAAAAATGTTTGGCTAAGGAAAAAGTATAAACTACTTATAACATGAAACGGGGAAATATTGTTTATGCTCTTTTGCTGATTTCTTCCTTTTGGTTGTCTTGACTGCAGTGGAACACGCATGAGGAGGTGAAGGAGGTCCATTTGAAACAGAATGTCCCTGAACCATCTTCTTACCTGCATAAGTCCTCGGTAAAAAAGACCCCCTCTAATTCACAAGTCAGCCATAAATTTGTCTACTTTCCTTTAGGTTGTCCTGAATGTAGTAGAACACGCAGGAGGAGGTGAAGGAAGTCCATGTGAAGGAGAATGTCCCTGCACCATCTTCTTACTTGCTCAAGTCCTCGGTAAAAAAAGATCCCACTAATTCTCAAGTCAACCATAAATTTGTCTACTTTTTAGGCCCGGTTTAGTTACAAAGTAGTATGACCTATTTTTTTTATTTCTACATCGAACCATAAGTATCTTGGATTTTCAATTTTTAACCTAGAGAGAAATGTTAAATCTAATCCGAATACATGATTATAATCTGTAAACATCTTAAAGTAATGTGTGCGCCACTTCTTTTAATGCACTGTTGCTCTTCATCTTAAGTAATGTGCACGTACATAATTATCTTCATCTTAAGTAATGTGCACGTACATAATTATCTTGGATTTTCAATTTTTAACCTAAAGGGAAATGTTGAAACTAATTTATGTACATGATAATAATATGTAGACAACTTAGAGTAATGTGTGCGCCACTTTTAATACTGCACATCAACTTACTAACAAGATTTATTCAATCTCGCATTCAAATAAATCTTGCATTCATTGTTTGTTGTGATATGCTGTTATTTATGCTCTTTTGCCGTTATTTCTCTGCAGGGGTTAAAATCATTATTTGTGAAGGCTTCTGGTGTTAGTGTATCCATACAAGTAGATGTATCTAACACAAAAGTTGATTATCTGATCAATTCTGCCTGTGAAAAGTTAGGTGTCAAAGCTCAGGATACCTATGCAGTGTTGTGCGGTAAAGTTTTAGACTATGATAAATCATTGTCGGAGTACCTATTGTATCAAAACTCAACCGTTGAAATCCGCTATCGAGGAAGAGCTGGACAGTGAGTATTATCTATTTAAAATTGTTAATTTTTTTATTTGTACATGTCTATAACATTGTAACATTGTGTTTTGCTGTAGGCTAAATTGGGATCAAAAATTCAATGTTAATGATACAGTTCTGTATTATGATGTTAACTTAGATCCAGCTCTTCAAAATGCTGGAATCCAGGCATTCCAATATGCACGGTTTTTCTCGGATTTTTCCTCATACAATATATTCAGAAGGTGTTGATGCATGTTACTGAACAACATCCGTGCAGGGTGGAGTTATGATGGGGGTTTTAATAGCCAGAACATTATCTTTCATGATGGCGCAGTTAGTATAGAAAATGTCCCTGTAGTGGCATTTGATAAAGATCCATGTGCTCGGGATTATACTAGTCTCTACAATATATTCTCTACAAGGTTTGGACCAGTGTATCCAGTACATTTCGATCATCTCCTTGAATTCCTAAGAACATGTCCTTGTGGGGTGAACTCCAGAAACGATGCAATAGTTGCGTTTGTCACAAATCATCCTAGTATTGAAACATATGTTGATAGGATGAAACAATTGATGATTTTAGACAATGTGGTACATAGACACCCTGCACATCTTCAGGCTAATATAAAAGCTATGGCAGCATATGCTTCACACGCTAGTTTAAGAGCTAGTATGGGACCATATGCATATGCTTGGAAAGGTTCTGCGCAGCTTGTTCCTGAACTCAATAATGTTCTTATCTATCAACCATCCGGGAAACCATTACAATGGAAAAATCCCTTATATACTGATAATGCAAAAGGTTGTCTTCATTTTGCCAATAATTTTTTGAAGCATGCAAGAAACAGGGTTAGTATAATACTTACTCCATTATTTTTTCACTAGTGAAAACATATTTATGTCTAACACTGTTTTTTCACTAAACAGTTCCCAGAAGAACAAATTGAGGCAGCATTTGCTCTACACATGAAAAATTTCCTGCCAAAGATATTACAGGGACTAGCTGAACTTGCTGATCGCACCCCAAACAGACAATACATCAATGACATGTAAGTGGATCTCAAATCTTGACAAAATCTTTCTCAACCTAAAATATTTCTCAATCAAGTTTAAAAGATGAAATGAGATTATTTTTGTAGGCTTTCAAACCCACTGGCGGATATAAGCACGGGAAATTAGATTCGGAGATGCATGTAAGACAAATTGATCAAAAATTGACTTAATATTTTATTCTTCATACTATCATTGCATTCTTATGTTTAGTATGTAGGAAGCAACAATCTGGAGATATTTTAATTGGAAAGCTGTGAAGGAATGTCATTGTATCGGAATGTCATTGTATCTTGCTCAGGCCTCATGGAGGCATGTATCTTCTCTGTTTCTTTGGACCGGTGTTGATTGTGTTGCAGCATGGTGGGATGGCGTCATGCTGGAATGCAAAGATAAACAACCATGTTAGAAGCTATTTAATTTAGCTAGTTATTGTATTGTATGAACATCACTACATTCGCTCTTAATTTAGTAGTACTAGTAACTTGTTGTGCTGAGGAGTACTACTACTACCACTACTACTACATGTGTGTATGCCTGTCTGTTTGGATTGGTTTGGTTTCTGTTTGGATTAGTAGCCGCTTGCTCAGCTCAACCGAACCAGAGATGAGAGGCCCTGCCGGAGCGCGGGCGATCTGCTTGCATGCATCTACGCGTGCAGTACAGCGAAAGTCGGACCGAGAAAACGTACCTCGCGAGTCAGGCCCGCTTCTCGCTGTCGACCACGTCTCTCGACATGGCGCCCGAGTCGTCCTGAGCTCGGCCGGCCATCTGCGGTGACGAAGCCACCAGATCCGGCGCCTCCCGGCCGATTCGTCGCAATCGCCTCCCTCGCTGGATATGCCGGCCGCAAAGCTCGCAGCCGCCGGATGCCCGTCCGCTCCGAGGCCAGCGTCTTCCTCGGCGGCCTCCGTTAGCTCCTCCCGCTCCGAGGCCAGCGTCTTCCTCGGCGGCCTCCGTTAGCTCCTCCTCCTGCTCTTAGCCGGCCGCTACCGGCGACAAACACAAGAAGCTGCTCCCCCTCCATTTTGCCTTTCCTTTTCTTTTTCTTCTATTTTTTTCCATCGGCCTTGCGCTATTTATAGAACGTACTATGACGTCACTGTCAAACGGTGGTGACAACATCATTTTCAATAATATTCTAAAAGAGAACAATGCCACCCTCACTTCTTTCATGGAGTACTACAAAATCATTCCTATGCATATTGTTCATTGTTGTTATATGTATGTACTTTCATCTCAAGTTTATCAGATATCCGGACGGATAAGTTTAGTTTCACGGGTAAATTTTTTTTCCTATCATATCGAACGTTTGAATATAAGTACGAAGTATTAAATATTGAAAAAGAAAACTAATTGCACAGTTTGCATGTAAATTACAAGACGAATCTTTTAAGCCTAATTGCATCATGATTTGACAATGTGGTGCTACAGTAAACATTTGCTAATGACAGATTAATTGGGCTTAATAAATTCGTCTCGCAGTTTACATGTGGATTATGTAATTTGTTTTGTTATTAGTCTATGTTTAATACTTCAAATGTGTCCATATATCCGATGTGACCCGATATTTTTTTTACGGTGGAACCAAACACAGCCTTATTCTAAAAGACCTCACAATTATTTTGGGGACTAACTATCTAACATGTTATAGAAAATCCCCTAAATAGTATAAGTATAGTGTACTCCCTCCGTTCCAAGATATTTGGATAGATGTGGTTGATAATATGAAGCATCACATTCGTCCAAAATCTCTTACTATATTCTAAGACGGATGGAGTATTTACAGTGCAACTAGCATATAATTACAGCTGTAATTAGGATGTAATTATAGTACATCTAGAGTGTATAGGTCACATTTGACTTAAAATCTTGGTGTAGCTTTAGTGGTAGAGATGTGTGCTAGTATGCCACAGTTGGTGGGATCGACTAGTCATCGCGTGTATGATTTTTATTTGTTTTATTATGTATATTACACGAGTCTTTGTGCATATCGGACGGTCAACACTAATCTCAAAGAACATCCAACTGCCAAAATAGTGCAAGACATAGCCATCAATTTTCTATCATTAGACTAGTAGTATGTGTGTAATTCATACTTCACCCTAGCAAAGCATGAATATTTGTGTATTCATGGTTAGCAAGAGTAATTAAACAGCATCCCCATATACTAGCCCACATGCAAGTAACCAAACGCCACCCTGATATATTGTTTAACATCTCCAACCTCACTCAATATCACCCACTGCCCACTGGCCACTATAGCTAGGCTAGTATTTGGTTTGCTTCAATGCTAAATTTTAACATTAGAAAAACCTAGGCAAGTTTTGACGTTGTCAATTTCTTTCACAATTTATATGTGCTGTTGGCATATTTGGTAGCAAATTAAATACTAGTATTAAAGTACCAACGATTTGATAGCGCATATTTTAGCTCCGGAACAAAATGCCTCCCTCAGCTCTTTTTTTTTCTTTTTTTCCTTTGGTATAGATTTGTGCTCCAAGATACCCTAACCCTAGACCAGTCCAAAAATAAATAAATAAAAAGAATGGTGCCCAGAATCTCGGTTCCAGTGACTTCACTTCGAACAACTGTGCAATTAAATATGTTCTCTATTTCTAGCATTAATATAATATATAAGTTTCCCTTTAAAGGCTGTGTGTAGTTCAGCGCAAAGTTTGGATTTTGGTTAAAATTGGAGATGATGTGACTAAAAAGTTGTGTGTGTATGACATATTAATGTGATGGAAAAGGACTGAAATTTGGATCCAAACTTTGGATCTAAACACAGCCTTAATAAAAATCATCTGCTAGGTTTCGTCCTTTAAATTTATTTAAATTTCACTCATTTTGAGTATGAGATTCTAATAATTGGCTGTAACTTTTTGAGCAAAAGTCGGAATGCTCTGTTCCATTATCTAAAAAAAAATGTGTATTAAAGCGACTGCAATAGAATGATATAAATGGATTATACGAGTTGTCACATTGTACCTGTGCTTATGTAGTGGGAAGAATGAGAGGAGAGAAGAAAAAAAGGGGTTATTACATATTTATAGCCAGTTATAGCACTGGAATGGACTCCGATAAATAAATTATGTTAGAGGGACAAGTTAGTTAAATATTAAATTGTGTAATGGTATATATCTACAACTAATTTTAATTTTTGAAGCTAATGCTTAACTTGTACTATAAGCTTTGCTGTCCGATCCGGGGGTTAGACTCGTGTCAATCTGCCGCCTCAGGCCACCCTGCACGCAAATCTCGTTCGTCCACCCCTGTGGGTTCGTCACAGTCTGGAGCAACGCGCGGCTGCATGCCAAAGGGCAAAGGCGCCAGCTCGTCAACCCAACCCTATCGACACCCGGTGACCGGTGTTGGTGGAGCCCATGACCATGGGGGAGGTGGAGCTATGCTTTGACGCGTCGTGTCGTGCGGGTAGATAGATGCCACGCGGCGATAGATGGCGCATGATGATCACTAGTGGAGTAGTCATGGATGCGGCTGTGTCGTGCGGTGCGGGTGGGCCACGCGGCGATGGCACATGAGCAGGAAGCGGTTGAGAGTTGAGACAAATAATGTCATGGAGGCGTGCGGCTGTGTACTGTACCTCCGCGCGCTTGACCGACGATGTCAGTGACTGACGCGGAAGAATTAATCCAAGGGCAAAGTATATACTCCATGGAGTTGAAGGAGCAAATGAGCGTGGAATATGATTTGTTCTTAAGCTTGGATTAACGAGCATCGTATTTACGCGGCTCATATACTCCCTCCGTTTTTTACTTTGACTTTTTTTCTATAGTAAATTCCTTTTATGTTTGATCAAATTTGTAATAGTAAAATATAATAACATTTTCAACATAAAAAATATATTATATTTAATCAAATTAATTTAATATTTTAGATATTCATAATAAAAAATTGACTAGGAAAAAAGTCAAAGCGACTATAGTTGAAACGGAGAAAATATTTATCTTTAATATGGTCAAATATACTATAATAGATCTCTTCACCCGGTAGTCAATAAAATAATTAACTATTTAAAAAAATGGGATTAACAAAGTCTTGAATAAATGTGATTTAGAAATTATGTTTTTTACAAACATATTCTGCATCTTAAAAAGTTTCCAAATATGTCGTGTTCAAAAGACACAACTTTATTAAGGCTGTATCCTTCCCCAGTTTTCTCAACTCACATCTCTCATTTTCCACACGCACGCTTTTTAAACTGATAAATGTTGCGAAAGTTATTTTAAAAAATCATACTAATCATTTTTTAATAAAAATAGTTAATACTTAATTAATCATGTAATAATAAATAATTAATCATGTAATAATAAATGCTTCGTTTGGCAGCCTGAAAGTGAATTCATGGTGTGTTCGACAAGAGAGTAAAGCAGTGGTGGATTGAGAATATATGCAAAAGCCATTGGTACATAATTAATTGTATTAATTATTTTAAACTTGAAAATATATTTGTATGATTTTAAAAGTAATTTTTCTATCTATATATTTTTTTGGGATAATAACTAGTTTAGTCCCTAAAGTTTCTCTATAGGATCAGTTTAGTCCCTAACATTTTAAATGGTCCAAAGAAATACTTAAACTTTGTCATAAGGTGTAGAATAGTTCTTGGGTCCACTAAAATCATTATATGGATATGCCATGTCATCATTCATGCAAAATCTATGATGAATTGTCCAATATACCCTTACGTATATCATAGAAAAATAAATATAAGGGTGAATTGGACATAACCATAGGAAAAAAATACTTATCCTTTTTTTCACCCTTTTGAGGTATATTTTTGCTCTTACATTTTACCTTTTGTTTTTTATTTTCCTATGATATATGTAAGGTTAAATTGGACAAATCATAGATTTTGCATAGGAATGTAACATGGCATATCCATGTGGCGATTTTGGTGGGACCAAGGACTATATCAACCCACATGACAAAATTAAAGGACTTGTTTGGACAATATGAAAAATTAAGGACTAAAATGAGCCATGAGCGAAACTTTAGGAATCATATTAGCTATTCTCCCTATTTTTTTAAAGAAAACCGTTTATCAGTTTAAAAACATGCAAGCGAAAAATTAAGAAATTTTTCTTTGCCATGCCGCTTGTCTAAACACAGCCTTTCGTATACAGCATATAGATAACCCACACAGCACATCGTCCATTGAGCTATTTCAAACAGATTAATCCAATTAGCGATTTTGTTCTATAGGTGCTATTAAATTGTCTATTTGATCATCTTTTTTAATTAACAGTTAGTAATTTAATATTCCTATTCTCTATTTCTTTCATTCTATACAATAGTGATATTCTTACGATGACTCAGCACTCTAAAATGACACTCATGATTAATTAACAATGAAGCATGTGAAATGAACCAAATTACTACTACTACGGATAGTATAACTTGTTGTTAGTAGTACGTGGATGAAACATGAGCCACGGGTTTTTTTTAAGAACTCATGAGCGAGCTGTTGTTTTTGCCTATTGTACATCACTACATTGGTCTTGTTTGTAATATTGCTATTTAGGAGTATTAAACGTATATTATTAACAAAATCTATTTTATAACCTCTAGGCTATTTTACGAGACAAATCTAATGTTGTATATTAATCCATGATTAACAGATGATTATTGTAGCATCACTGTAACAAATCATGGATTAATATACCTCGTTAGATTCGTCTTATAAAATAAATTAGGGGTTATAAAATCTATGGCTGTGTTTAGATCCAAAGTTTGGATCCAAACTTCAGTCATTTTCCATCACATCAACCTGTCATATACACATAACTTTTCAGTCACATCATCTCTAATTTTAACCAAAATTTAAACTTTGCGCTGGACTAAATACAACCTATGTTTAATATTTTTAATTAGTACTAAGGGCAGTTTTGAATTGCTACCAAAATTTGCCATACCAATATTTTGGTAGCATAAATAGTATCCACCATTTGTTTGGATTGGTGCCAACATTTTAGTAATGCCCATCTCAAATTTGGTAGCAATCTAGAACTTTCTTCACTATGAT